TCGTGCCCAAGACTAATTTGGGATGACTCAACGTGGACGGGGAGGTAAATTTAGGTACATTATCGTGGTGGAGGTACATGGTTAATTTAAATTATGGGCTCGAGGGATTTTGAAATTGGTGAAAATTGAAAAATTATTTGATTTGTTCGTGGAGATACTTTATTTATTTGTGGATTTATTTGGTTCATTCGTGGAGTAATTATTTGATTGAGAATAAATGCGGGTCGTGATTTCGAATTGATGATATTTTGTGATTGGGCTTATCGTGTATTTGGTGCATTTATTGGTGGGCTCGGGGGAGATGGATTAAAATTATATGATTAGATATCTTGATTCCGGAACCACTCATTTGGATTTTCATGTGAAAGTGTGGAATTTTGTTTGAATTAATTATTCATAATTTTTTAAGCATGCCATTACCCGAGCATGTCTTAAATCGAGGAGGTGGTGATGTTTGTATTTGATCTCTTATGTTTATTGCGTGGAGCTTGGTATTGGGAGTAACTCATTTGAATTTTCGTTTGGTGCATTTGTTTAATGGTTGTTTGTATATGCGGAGTATGGTTTTTTGTAACTGTTTGTTGAATTCATGGTTTTGTGAAACTATGGTCGACTCTACCTTTGAGTTTTTGATGTGGATGCCAATATGACTGCTTTGATTTATTCATATCTTGATTATATGGATATCAAAATTGCAAATTGGAGGATGTGGATAAAGTACGACTAATGGTACTTGCTGAGGAAAATACATGAGCAGGTGGACTGGATATTGGTTATGGTGAGAAGTGGAAAGCATGGAGCAAACAACTCAGGTCGTCGTGTACAGACAGGAAAGGGAGGTTGAAAAATATGCTTGTTGTTTTTTATGATTACTCGTTCGATGAAATTATGCATTTGGTGACACTAACGGAAATGATCGATTACTATTCTATCTTGTTGTCTTTGGTGTATTTCTCCTTGACCTCAGTGGCAGGTCGAAGTGTTGGAGCTGTTCTAAAGAAAAAAAATACACTTGTTTTGGTACGCCCCGGTTCGGGGTGGGCAAGTGGTCACTTTTCTTGGTATGCCATGTTTCGGGATGGACAAGTGGTCGAAGAAAAAAATTCATTTATTTTGGTACGCCCCGCTTCGGGGTGGGCAAGTGGTCACTTGTTTTGGTATGCCCAATTTCGGGATAGGCAAGTGGTAGAAGAAAAAAAATCGACTTGTTTTGGTATGCCTCGGTTCGGGGTGGGCAAGTGGTCACTTGTTTTGGTACAACCCTTTTCGGGGTGGGCAAGTGGTCGAAAAAAAAATCCACTTGTTTTGGTACACCCCGGTTCGGGGTGGGTAAGTGGTCACTTGTTTTGGTAAGCCCTGCTTCGGGTGGGAAAGTGGTCACTTGTTTTGGTACGCTACATTTCGGGGTGGGCAAGTAGTTGAAGAAAAAAATCCACTTGTTTTGGTACGCCCCACTTCAGGGTGGGCAAGTGGTCACTTGTTTTGGTACACGCTGTTACGAGGTAGCAAATGGTTGAAAAAAAAAATCCACTTGTTTTCGTACTCCCAGCTTCGGGGTGGGCAAGTGGTCGAAGAAAAATCCAGTTGTTTTAGTACGTCCCGCTTTGGGGTGGGCAAGTGGTCACTTTTTTTGGTACGCCTCGTTTTGGGGTGGGCAAGTGGTCGAAGAAAAAATCCACCATGACTAAGGCATTCGGGCTTGGTGGTCGATCCTAGTGTTGGGTCGTTGAAGACATGGAGCTTATTGGAGACCTCGAAGGCAGGTCAATGATTTTTACTTGGTTTCTATATTGTCATATTTATTTTTCGACCTCAGTGGCAGGTTGATGGAGTTCACTACACAGACCTCAGTGGTAGGTCGACGATCTTTATTTGATTTTGGTTATGTCGAATTTATTTTTCAACCTCAGTGGCAGGTCAATGGGGTTCATTATGCATATCTCGAGCAGGTAGATGGTTTTTACCTCATTTTGTTTGGTCGAATTTATTTTTCGACCTCAGTGGCAGGTCGAGGAAGTTCATTTAGAGCAACTCAGAAATTTTATTTGAGGACCTCGGTGGTAGGTTGATGATCTTTATTTGATTTTGGTCATGTCGAATTTATTTTTCGACCCTAGTGGCCGGTCGATGGAGTTCATTTGGCGCAACTCAGAGAGATTATTTGAGGACCTCGGTGGCAAGTCGATGATTTTTACTTGGTTTTGATTTTGTCGAATTTATTTTTCGACCTCAGTGGTAGGTCGATGGAGTTCATTTGGTGCAATTCAGGGAGATTATTCGAGGGCATCAGTGGCAGATCGATGATTTTTACTTGGCTTGGTTTTGTTAATTTATTTTTCGACCTCAGTGGCTAGTCGATGGAGTTCATTTGGTGCAATTCAGAGAGATTATTCGAGGATGTCGGTGGCAGGACGATGATTTTTACTTGGCTTGGTTTTTTCAGATTTATTTTTCGACCTCAGTGGCAGGTCGATGGAGTTCATTCGGAGGACCTCAGTGGCAGGTCGACAGTTTATTATTTGATTTGGTTTTATTGAGCTTATTTCTTGATTCAGTGGCAGGTCGAGCGAGTTCGTTTAGAACAGTTCATAGAGTCGGGTTATTCAAGTCGATGGTTTTATTTGGTTTGGTTTAGTCGAATGCGATTTTTCGACATGAAGGTGACGTCAGGATATTTGGTTCTCGAGAGAATAAACAGCAGGGTTGAATTTCAAATTTTGAACTGAGGGGCGACATGACGAGGTGGTCGAAAAGGTTTATCTCTGAGCGAAGAGAGCTCGAACATGGTGGTTGAGAAACAACACACGTGAGTTCAAATTTTCAAATTCAAGACTTTGGAAAGAGATCGAGAAAATCTACCAAAGTATCAAGGAAATCCAAGTAAGCAGGTCGAGAGATATCAAAGGAAGGTCGACATGGCAAAATGAAGAGCGAAGGAATCTACTTTAGGAATCAAGGTTCGACCTGAATGTGACGTCAGGTCATTTCAATTTTTGACCTCAGTGGTCGTTCGGCTTTTGGTGTTCGACCCCAGTGAGGGGTCACTCGATTTTTGACCTTATTGTTCATTCGGCTATCGGTGTTCGACCCCAGTGGCGGGTCACTCGATTTTTGACCTCATTGGTCATTCGACTTTTAGTGTTCGACCCTAGTGGCAGGTCACTCAATTTTTGACCTCATTGGTCATTCGGCTTTCGGTTTCGACCCCGGTG